GAAAATGAAAATGAAAATGAAAATGAAATAAAAAATATTCAAATGGAAAAAATCACATTCTTAGTCCCCCAAACCCTGTGTTTTTTTGAACGGCTGTAAATTATGTTCATTCACATCCCGTAATGATTCACAAATAGTCCGTGAAGAGTCCGACTGAAGTCTGCCACAGTCTTTCAGGGTAAGGCTGATAAGCGCCCACCTTTATCTCCCTTGAAACGCTGCCAGAGACCTAATTGGCAATTTGCTTTGCAAGGCCACAAGGAGCACAGAGTCAAAACAGAGCTTCAGAGTTTAAACTGATCAGAACGAACAAAATTGCTTTCTGCAAAGGCTCACTTCCATTTGCTCCTCTTTTATGTCTTATGAGAGGAGCCAATCATCTCCAAGCCTTCCTCCCAAGTTGACCCTTGTTCTTTAGCTGTTCCCTTCATCTGGCAGCTCTGCGCATACGCACACTGGGAACAGGCTCCAGCTGTTCATCTGCCTCACTGATGTCTGACTCTGAAGGCAGCTGATAACTGTCAGACGGCCCTGGCCCCTTCTCTGCCTCAGACACAGAGCCCTCCTCAGAGCCTTCCCCAGACTCCAAGACTGGCCCATCTTCCTCCCCAACCTCCTCACTATCCGAATCTGCTGCCAGCTCCGCAGGTCACCAATGGACCACAACATCACTTTCTTGCTTCTCTTTGCACTTTTTCTAGAGCCTGAACGTGGTTTTTGTATTGTGATGACAAGAATTGCACGCAGCATTCCAAGTGTGGTCTCCCTTTTTTTGGAAAGTTGCCTCTCTCTTGAAAGAGCTTGTCCCTCCATCGCTGCAGAGGTTAACCCTTGGACCATGATTTCCTACACACTTTGTCAGCATTACTTATCCACAGTGCTTGGATGTCTTCGGAGCTTGCCTTGGCCATCGGTACTTACTATCAGGGTTCCAAGTAATAGACCCATAGTAAGCAAAACTCCAAGGCAGGTAGATTCCTCAAAGGATAGCTTTAATTAGATATCTCATATTGGCACGTATCTGGTGAAAACCGACTCTGAAGGTTCCCACAGTTTTCACCTAATTAATTTTGTTACTTTTCTCAAAACAATCAGTCGCATTGCCACCAGGAAGACTGGCAATGATGTTCAAGGATAAATTGGCTAAATGTTGGAAATGCCACCAGACACCTGGCACGTAATAACATAAAGTATATGGTGGACATGCGTAGAAGCAAGAAAATATTTGACTAAAGAACACACGTGGCTCGAAAAGATGATACAACAACACAGAGTCTTAAAAGCTAAAATATACCTGATTTCACCAGAAACTTACAGTAAAGAAAATGTATTTTTGATTACTCAAGTTATAACAGCAGCTAGGATTGTATTTGCACAAAATTGGAAAAGCAAAGAGCTTCCCACAGAGGAGAATGTGATTAGGAAAACAGTAGAATGTGCAGAAATGAACAAATTAACACTGGCAATTAAAGAGAAAGAACTGATTATTACACTACATGGGAAGTATTTTATCAATGGTTAAGAGAATAAACTTAAAAATTAGAAGTAAAATTACCTGTCTTAAAATGTATTAATTACAGTTAACATAACTAATAGAGTTAAATAAATTAAGAAGAGGATTGTTATAATATCAAACATGTAAAATTGGCATTAAGTTGGAATAGATAAATAATGAATATGATTGTAAAACTTAACTGTAATCGCACAAAAATTTTATCCAGACGACACGCTGCTAAATGGATTGTTTGTGTCAAGAAAAAACAAAAACTTTTTAAAAAACCAGTCAGTCATATGGTCCAATCACGGCGTTGTTTGGTTGCCTGGTGACATCACTCCTCCTTCCTCTGACCCGGTGTGAGAATGACCTTGGTTCCTAAGAGTAAGTTTTGTTTTGACTACAAAATCGCAGCTATCTCTAATCCCCTCTCCCTGTCCCTCAGCCCCAGTGTGGTGACACGGAAGCCTCCAAGATGGCTTCGGTCAGGTCAGCTTCAGGGTTGACACCTGCTGTCGGGTGATGATGCCCGATACCCATCTGCTTTGGGGAAAAAGGCTGCCAATCGTCCGGCTTCTAGAACCTCTGCATCCTTATGACTTCATCAGGTCAGGATCTCTGAAGACACCTCTTGTGCAGACCACCTCCAGGGCGGGCCTCCTTCGTCGCAGCTCCCCTAAGAAGAACCCAGCTGCCTATTGATAAAGCAAATGGGCTCATGGAAGGACCCCTTCCTCACTGTCACCTTCCCAAGCAAGGTCATCTTCATCATTAGCTCATGGGTTCTCTTCGTCATCAACCTCGGAGTGATCATCGGGGACCTCTACCACTTCCTGGTCTCTCAAAGAGGCGATCTCATGAGCTTCCACTTCACCGTATCGCTGCTGGTAAAGGTTCTCCCTTCCCCTCTTTTGCAATTCAGTCGACTCCCACAGAGGGGAATAGATGACCTCTAGCTGGGCGACCAGGGAAAATAGATCCACCACAGCCTTTACAGATTAACAGAATTGGAAGGGACCTTGTAGGTCATCTAGTCCAACCCCCAGGCCCAAGCAGGAGACCCTGCACCCTTTCTGACAGAGGGCAGTCCAGTCTTTTCTTGAAAGCCTCCAGGGATGAAGCTCCCAGAAGGCAACTTCTCTTCCGTGGGTTGATTGTCCTCCATGTCAGGAAATTCCTCCTTATTTCCAGGTCGAATCTCTCCTTGGTCAGTTTCCATCCATTCTTCCTTCTCTGGCCTTTGAGGGCTTTGGAAAACAGCTTGACTCCCTAACTCCTCTCTGGGGCAGCCCCTCAAATATTGGAAGATGCTCTCCTGTCTCCCCTGGTCATTCTCTTCCCTAGACTAGCCAGGCCCAGTTTCTGCAACCGTTCATTGTATGTTTTAACCTCCAGTCCCCTCATCATCAAGGTTGTTCTCTGCACTTTTTCTAGAGTCTCCACATCTTTTTTTATAGTGTGGTGATCCAAAGTGGATCACAAATTTGATCAATCAATCAACGGACAGGCAGAAAGTGTATCTAACCCAGTGTTTCTCAACCTTGGCAACTTGAAGATGTCCGGGCTTCAACTCCCAGCATTCGCTGGCTGGGGAATTCTGGGAGTTGAAGTCCGGACATCTTCAAGTTGCCAAGGTTGAGAAACACTGATCTAACCCCTCATTCTGCTCCTTTTGGGTGGCAATTTTGCTGGGAGAGTCGGGCTGTCAGGCTGCAACGAGGATGGATCTCGGCAAGGTGTCGACTTTTTTTTCAGGACATGTGGTGGGCACTGTCACAAAATGGCCAGCGTTTCCCACAAGGCCAACTGATGCCCTTTGCTGTTCCTGAAAGCCCTTGTGGTGGTGGTGTGTCTGTGTGTGTCTGTGTGACTCAAGGCATCCCTGTAAAATCAGGGGACCCCCAATCTTGGCCATTTGAAGACTTTTGTGGACTTCGGCTCCCAGAATTCCTCAGCCAGCCATGCTGAGGAATTCTGGGTGTCGAAGTCCACAAGTGTTGCCAAGGTTAGCGACCCCTGCTGCGAAGCGACAGGGTGTGAGAGGCCACTGTTGCCTTCCTATTTTCTTCTACAAAAAATTAAAATATATATTTTAAACGTTGAAGAAGGGAGGAGAAAAGCTCGGCTCTTTGCAACGGGAGAACCATTCATTTCTCCTTGCTCTTCTTTGGGTTTCTCACAGTTCTCCCACGTGACGAGCTTCTACTTGGCTCTCATAGCCAGCGTCTACACCATGCAAGCGGATGATGGCTTCTTGACGTGCTTGTCCCTGACCTCCTTAGGTAAGATGATGATCAGGAAGAGGAGGAGAAGGAGTTTCCCAGGGTAACAAGCCAGCTACTTTAAGAGGGGTGGACTTCAACTCCCAGAATTCCTCAGCCGGCATGCTTTAAGAGGGATGGGCTTCTGCTCCCAGGATTCCCCAGGCATATGTGAACTTCAACTCCCAGAATTCCCCAACTGGCGTACTTTAAGAGGGGTGGACTTCAACTCCCAGAATTCCTCAGCCGGCATGCTTTAAGAGGGATGGGCTTCTGCTCCCAGGATTCCCCAGACATATGTGAACTTCAACTCCCAGAATTCCCCAACTGGCGTACTTTAAAAGGTGTGGACTTCAATTCCCAGAATTCAGCGGTGCTTGTTAGAGAATTCTGGGAATTGAAGTCCACACTTCTTAAAGTTGTCAAGGTTGTGAAACTATGATCTAGGCCCTACGTTCATTTCCATCCCCTCCACCGCAATCGATTTTCCAAACTGTGAGAATTGAAGTCTATGTCGTGAACAGGCCATGGTTGCCCAACCTGGTCTAGTGATTAAGGCACCAGGAGTAGAAAGCAGGAGATGGCGAGTTCTAATCCCGCCTGAGGCACGAAACCCGGCTAGTGCCTTTTGGCCAATTACCAGATGATGATGAGTTCTAATCCCGCCTGAGGCATGAAACCTGGGCAGCTGATTGGATCAACCACCAGGGGATGCAGGAATGCCGACTGGGTGAATCGGGAGCCAGTCCCTCCTTTTCAGTCCAATCCGCTACACAGGATTGTTATGGGGAAATCACCAGGTGTCTGTGAGTTCTAGTTCTGCCTTAGGCATGAAAGCCAGCTGGCTGACCTTGGGTCAATCACCAGCAGACAGTGAGTTCAAATCCCGCTTTAGCCCTAAAAAAGCTGGCTGGGTGATTTTGGGCCAATCACTAGGAGACAATGACTTCTAGTTCTGTCTTAGGCACCAGCTGGGTGACTTTGTACCCAGCTGTCTTTCAGCTTGGCCCACCTCACAGGGTTGTTGTTGCTGCTGGGAAACCAGGAAGGTCGGTTGGATATGTTCCCTGCCTCGAGTTATTTGTCAAGATAATAAAAAGTGGAGATATCCATGAATGAATGAATAAATCGATATATTTTCCTTTTTCATCCAGTCGCGAATTTCTCTCTGTACCTGGCCCGATTCTGGATGGACTATCTCACCATCGAGTACAGGGAGGAAAAATACTAATGATCGGAAGGAAGCAGGGATGAGACGAGAGAAGCCAAAAAAATTGAGAGGGGGTTTCTCCCCCAACTCCCACTCACCCCCAAGCTTGTTCACGTTATCCCAGCCGGTAACCTCTGAAGGACGGAGCAACGAAGGAGCAACTACCACCCTTTAGGATCAGCCAAGAGTGTTTAATAGAACATTAACCAATGTCTCTATTGCTTCAATGTGCCAGAGATTTGCACACTCACCGCCCTACATCGGAAGAATCCAGAGGCGAGAAATAAACCCTGCGGGAAATTTCAGAGCTGTCCTTCGAACCGGTCCCCAAACCTTTCCAAAATGGGGGTCCCCTGCAAAGGATGGCAGCTTACCCTTCTTGATCGGACATCTGGGATGAGAGAGACTTTCCTCCACCGGGTGCCCCCCCCCTGCTTTCCCCCCAAAATGGACTGGGACCGTCGCTTTCGGCAAAGCGATCGTGCCCATCAAATCTGCTGGAGAATGGGGAAAAGTGGTTTTGGAGAAGACAAGGTTGAGGCCACCCTTTCTGGAAAAACCTGGCGCCTGAACAGAGTGGAGATGTTGCCAGAGGACAAAAGTGGGGCATAAGATAATAATGGCCTCCTTTTTTAATTTGACGTGTAACTCCTGGCTTATGAAGGGAAGCGATTCCTAAGCACCGAGGCGCCGTTGCCTTCTCATCTCCGCAGCACTTCGAGCACCTGCCCATCAAACCCTGGACCTTTTTCAACCTCTGTGTTGCAGAGAAACTGTGTGGAGGGAGCCTTTGGTCCGGAAACTAGTTGTGTTAACGGAAAGGACCGAAGTGGGGTGCAAACAGATGTTGCTTCAGCTTAGATAGAGCCCCCTTTTGTTTTGGGGGGGGAGTGTATGGGGGTGGAGCTTTGGCGTTCCCGCAACCAAGACAAGCTTGCACAGAAGCATCAAAGTGGATTTAGGAGATGAGGTCTTGTTACTTGACGGAGAACTTCACGAACTTGGCCGTACTTTTTTGTAAAAATTGCTACGGGGTGGGCATGGCGACAGTCCCCCCCCCCCAGTTCTGTCGATCACGCCCGCCTTAAGCAACTTCCTTCAAAGAAGGAAAACAAAGCAATGAGGAAACTTGACCCCTAAGGAAAAGTGGGCTTCTGCCTGGCTCGAGTGGAAGCCGAGTTGTGAGAAGAGAGAGAAACGGGGGCTTCTTTTGCCCATCCACCTACTGAGTAGGAGCGAGGGAAGGAAACGAGAAATGGGAGGCCCTGTTCTCTTTAAAATTGCCAGTTCCATCCTGTCCCTGCACTGCACACTAGTCCTTTCTGCCTAAAGCTGCCCATCAGGGCAACAACATTTGTTGTTTACAATTCCCATCGGACTGTGGGGAGGAGGAGGAGGAAGAAAAAGAGATGGGCCATCTTTGAACTGGTATACCTTCATCCAAGCTTCCAAGGTGTCCCCAACAACCTTGTTTGTCCAGGCTGAGAAGCTGACGGAGACACACACGCACACCGAGTAGTTGCAGCCCCAGGCCTCCCTCTTCCCCTCCCTCCCTCTGGGGGTGCCATTCTGCCAGCTGCCAAGAGGAAGAGCCCAGAGTGTGGGGTACAGGGCCAACATGGCGAAGGAGAGGCCGGCCCCTACTCAAACTACTGTCCCACTCGGATGTTAGGGTTGAACTTGGGGTCTAGGCTGGGGTCGTTGTCGGCCGAGGCCCGGCCTACTTTCATCATGACGATGACGAGCGTCAGGAAGCCGATCCCGCCGATTAGAAGGAAGATGACGAACCGCTGCATCAACGACCGCGGCTGCTTCCGGGTGCCGAAACGATTCCTGCCGGCAGAAGGAGAGAGGAAATGGAACTGCCCCGTCCTTTTGAGGTTCTGAATTTGATCCTGCCTACTGGGGGTGCTTTCGAAGCGTTGGCTGGCTCGCCGCAGGATCTCCTGCGCCAAGGAGGGGGCAGGGGGAAAGAATGAGGAAACCTGCCAGGAGAGACTCCAGAATAATCAAGAGAGCAGAACCCAAAAATATTCCAAAGTCCACCAGATCTGAATCGGACCTGCTTGGAATCGCAACGGTGTTTTTCTCCAAAAGGCGACGGGATCGCCCCCCCCGCAAAGGTTTCGCTTCTCATCCAAGAAGCAGATTCAGTTCTGGATGAGAAGTGAAATGTTTAAACTGAGGAAGTCCAGTTAGTTACCTTTGGAAAAAGTAACTGAGCTGGAGGACCGAAGCGTCTCCATGGACATTCAAACCCACTCAGGAGCCAGGCGGAGTTTGGCACCATACTGAGAAGAGCCGTTTTTCAGGCTCTGCAACAGTCAGCGCAAAACCAAGAGGAAACGAGCGCTCCCATTTCGCTTTGTGACTTTCCTCCCGTCGCTCTCGGTCCCTTTCAAAATCTCTGCGGCTGTCTTTACTGCAAGCACCTCCCGGGGGAGATCGGTTCCCAAACCAACAAGCCTTTGGGAAGTGTTTCTCGGGGACTCACTTGAGCAGCTGGGCGAGCCAGCTGAGCGTCGGCCTCCGGCGGTATTTGTCCTCGTCGAAGTCGATGGTGGTGTTTGAGTCCTGGCCGACGCCGGCTTCCCGGGTGTCGTAAATTTTCCGTGAGGAGGAGGCTGCAGGTGAAGAGAGGCGAGAAGGCCCCGGGGGAGGGGGGAATTAACAACCCTTCCTCCACCTCCCCCGAAACTCTGCATAATCGATTATAGGAAACCAAGTGAGAACGGTACAGCGGTATCATGTAAACGCGATGTTATGAATCATGATGGTAAAAGGAAAAAGAGGGAGGAGAAACGGTCAGGGAAAGGAAAATGTGCGTCCTGGACAATTATCCCCATTATGCAAACTGTCCAAAGGATGCTTAAAATTCTTCTTCCTTGTCCTTCTGTAGGATATGGACGAGCCAGCCACAGCAAGGAGATATTTCATGCTTTATTCTCCTTCCTCTTTATTTTTTGGAGCTTTTTTTCACCCCCCTGTATCCCTGGAGAAATTACAAGTAGAAGTGGAAAAAAACAAAACCCCCAACAACTCCAAAGTCCTTTCTTGGGAGTTTTTTGGGAGGGGTAAAAATGAAGGATTTACGCAATGCTTTATCAAATAAAGGCACTCAGATTTTAAGCAAGGATAACTCAACAATCAAAGGTCAACAAAATACGCCAACATTTCTTGGGGATACGGCTGCAAGCAAGGTCACCACGCCTCCCTCCCCAAATTGATTTATCTCCCTCCGTCACCCACCCACCCCAAACGCAGCTGCCGACCTTGCCTTGCACGGTGAGAACGTCTCTACCTGCGTCACTCATGCTGACAATGGTGTGCTGGTCGGACACGCCGCCATTCTTCAGATTTTGCTGCTGCTGTGGCGGGGACTCGAAGTTGCAGCCTGCGCTGTAGGCGAAGGCCGAGGCCGTACTCTGTGGGGCAGCGTCTTCTGAATTTAGGGCTGCGGGAGGGAGAAGGAGAGCTTGAGATCCAATGGAGAACTGGTTTTTTTTTTTGGGAGACGTTTAGCATTCAGCGCTGCTGCTAGATGTTAAACTGAGCTTTCTGGGAATTAGAGGACTGTCTGCGTTTGTGTAGGCTGCTCAGCCTACTGAGGAGGCAGCACTTAAAATCAGTGTATGAATCAATAAAGTAAGAGATAAAGTGGCCTGATTGTGGCTGAATTAAGGTCCTGGGTTTTAAAAAACCATTTAAATGTATTGTTTTATCGTGTGAAACAGACAAAAGGAAACGAAGCAAAAACATACATCCAACTCTAATGACAATAACAACAACAAAAATATAGTGTACAAATAAAGAGGGAAAAGTGATTAATTAAGATTTAATATTTAACATAAAAGATCTGCCCTGGCTAAGTGCTGAAAGAAAAGAAAAAGCAATACATTATCCCCCCCCCTTTATTTATTTATTTAGGTAGGTAGGTAGGTATATAGACAGATAGATAGATATAAGATAATAGATAGATAGATAGATAGATAGATAGATAGATAGATAGATAAAGAGAGGAAGATGTAGATAGATAGATAGATAGATAGATAAAGATAGATAGATAGATAGATAAAGATAGATAGATAGATAGGTAGATAGATAAAGATAGATAGATAGATAGATAGAAGAGAGGGAAATGTAGATAGATAGATGATAGATATATAGATAAGATAGATAGATAGATAGATAGATAGATAGATAGATAGATAGATAGATAGATAAGAGGGAGATGTAGATAGATGAGATAGATAGATAGAGATAGATGATAGAGACAGGCAATAGACAAATACAGAGAGATGATATAGATGGATGGATTGATAGATTGATGGATGGACTGACTGATGACAAACAGATAGACAGAGAGACAGACAGACAGACGATAGACAAATACTTAGATAGATGAGATAGATGATAGATGGATGCACAGATGCCGTCATCCCCATCTCGTTCTTCATAGTTTCTTCACCTTAGCAGTTTTTAAGACGAGTGGACTTCAACTCCCACAATTCCCCAGCCAGCTCAGCTATTGCCGGTTCGCTCAGGGACCCGTTGTGCCCACGCTTGATGTGTATGCGCTTGCACAGCACTAAAAAAAAATGCTTCTGCGCATGCCCAGAAGCAAAAAACGAGACGGTGGTGCCTGTGGCGGCGTGGAGAGAACTGGTTCGGGGCTGTGGCAGTTACTACCGACTCGGCCGAACCGGTAGGAACTCCCCTCTGCCATAGACTCACCTGTGAAACTGGACCAGTCGCTGCCCTCTGAGGCGTTGTGAGCATCCACCTCGTGACTCACTTCCGTTTCGTCAATCTGAGCAGGCAAAAAACCAAAATCAAAATTCAGGTTAATCACCGGGCGGGATCTGGAAAGAAAGTCAAAAGCTTTGATTTGACTCTTGAAGAGGGACATCCTGGACAATGTTTGTTTGCTGGTTTGTCAAATTTCTTGGCCGCCCGTCTTATCTTAAGGTAACTTGAGGCCAGGGATGGCTAACTTTTTTGTCACCGCGTGGCGGAAGCACGTGTTCGTGCCCACCCATAATGCAATGTGCACATGACCCCCTCTGCATGCCCCCCCCCCCTGTGCATGGACATGGGTGTCCCCCTCCCCCCTGTGCATGCACGCGCGACACGCCCCATTCTGGGCCTCCCTGCAGCCTCCTGGGACCTGCCCCCGCCATGCATGCACACACTTCTCCCGCATGCGCCCCCCCACGCATGCACAGCAGAGACCCAAAGACCAGGGAGCCAGTGGGAGGCGCGTGCGTAGTGGAACAACGGCTCGCCTGCCTGCAGGGAGGGCTCCGCGCGCCCCCCTGTGGCACAACAGAACAGGCTCCGTCTTGCAGGAGGTTTCCAAACCAGGGTTGGTTAGCCGTTACAATATCCAAGGTGATTTAGCGCATGTTTGCACCGAAGAGGGCTGGCCTGGATGACCTTTAAGGTCCCCAGGAACAACTGAACTATCGGTAAAAGGACCAGGAAAGGTCCTCTCTTTTAAAGGAGCTTGCTCCCTGACTAGGACGGAAGCTGCCAAGTACCGCATTTTCCGGAGTATAAGACGCACCAAGATTTTGAACAGGTGAATTTTTTTTTTAAAGGTTTTGCACTTTGCAGGCCTCCCAAACTCTCTGCACGCCTCATTTTTTGTGAAAAACGGGGCACGCAGAAAGTTTGATAGGTCTGCAAATTGCTCCTGGCGTCTGGGGGCAAAAACGGCCTCTTTTTTTGCAAAAAACAAGGCATGCATAGGCTTTGGGAGGCTTGTAGAGGGCTCCGGGGGTGGGTGGGCAAAAACGAGCGAAAAACGGGGCATTTTTTGCTCGTTATTGCCCTCCTCAGCCCCCCAGGAGCACTCTACAAGCCTCCCAAAGCCTATGCGTGTCCATTTTTGCAAAGGTGGCGAGGTTTCGGGAGGCCAAAAATGGTGTATTCAGTGTATAAGACGCAACCAGATTTTCCCCCTCTTTTTTTTTGGGGGGGGGGGTGCATCTTATACTCTGAAAAATACAGTAATAATAGGGAGGTTGTCTGTGGGGATTACCTTTTTAAACAAAATGAGCTACTTTTTTTTTTTTTAATGGACAAAATCAAAGGCTGGGAAACTTGGGTCTTGAACCTCAATCTCTGCTTTTAACAGAGATCAGCCCGTCATTTTTCC